TGTATTTTATATGAGCAGTTTGTGAGTTGAGTTCATCTTCTTTCAGTGTGTTTTCATTAAATGGGGCATTTCCTGTCACTCATCCAAATCAGAGGAGGACTGGATTTTTTGATGCATGTCATGGTTTTTGTATTCATCCTGCGCCAAAAGTAGAAGAGTCACATGTAGGGACAGAGCCTTATATTACTTTGCGCCATGATCTTTTTTGTGGAGCGGGGCATCCTCCTTGGATAATGGCACAGGAAGCACCGGGAATCTGAAAGCAGTTTAAACATGCCATAAACAAAAACAGCTTGCTCAACAGCACACAGTAATGGTCTACTTCTAAAGTGCAAGTCGAGCAGAGGCAGCACATCATTCAGAGAGCTGAACTTTGATACAAAAAGCAGAACTTTCTCGATTTTAAAATAAATGAGTAATGTTGAGAAGATTGTTTGTATCTTTTGAACCCAAAGAGTTTCAGTATCTATAACCTAAAATTTTTTCCAGAGATTCGTGCCAAAAGTCCTGTTTTCTTTTCCTGATCGTCTCTCTTTGATCCAGACAAGTAATCTGTCTCCTAGTCAAACATCTGACAAAGAAGACTGTAAATCCTGAAGGTCTCCTCACATTTCTAACAGTGTTTCGATGCTTTCTCAGATCACCTGGTTTAAAAGAAAAATCTACACAAGGCGGAATGTTCTGCCTGAGAGGAGGGGCAGTCTTCCATTCCATGAGTACTAAGAGAAGCAGAGCTTCAAGCAAATTAAATGCAGACAGGTTGCTATGGAAATTGTGGGTGTACTAATAAATTGACCCAATTTTCTTAATTTTAGGTTGTCACAATACTTACTTACATGTGAAACTGACCTTATCTATTGATCTTATCCACCTCAGAAAAGGTCTGAAAGTGTAACGTTGGTGTAAAGCTGAAGTGACCGTTGGCTTCTTGCTGACCAGACACACACAGACTAAATCGAAAAATGATGCCACTCAGATTATTGTAGTGACTTGCTCCACCTTCTCTTTCATTCACACTTTTGGTAATCACGCACACTGATTTTTACTACATTTTGTTTCTTTATGTAAAATATGATTATGATATGGATCAAATGTATACTTTTAATTTCAAACTTGGTGCACAAATTGAAAAAACAACAAGCTCCTAAGTACAACTAATTAGTTGAATCATCAGAGTATGTGCTCTTGCTTCGACAACTAAATAATAAACAGTCATGTCTTTGTATCACATTCATCTTCTGGGAATCCTTTGCTGCATTTGAATTGCATAAACTGAACACCAATAAGCCTTCCATTGCTGTACGAATCAACCCTGGTGCAGATTAACCGAATGACATCTGTACCAACATGCTACGCTAGGCCAGAGCAAAACACTGCTCTAATCAGTAGCTGGAGGTTGGTGGCATCATGGAGCTCTGGTTTTAAAACTTCAAAGTTGCTTTCAGTTTTAATTTGCACAATTTAGGACAGAAAATGGTACAAACAGAGCCTTAGTGTTTCATTAGAAAAGGAATAACAAGAGATTTTGCCTTGTTTTCACTGAATGGTACAACATGGTTCGATGTGGTTTAAATCATCATTTTAAATCCGGCATATTCATGAGAGCCGGTTGGACTCTGGAGAGCAAGAGTTAATCCCAAATGCCTAATGTAAAGTCATACTAGTGTGACAACAAATGTGGCACACTAGTATGTCTCCACTTGTTGCCAGCAGTGGTATTTTTCTGTCACTCAATAGACTATGTTCAACACTAGTAGGTCCATCCTAAGCATACCATTGTCCCCTGTACCTACAACCTTCACCATGCATGTTTATATGGGCTGCTTTCACAGTGAACACGAGCAACATAGTGTACCAAACAACACCGAACGGAGATGTATTGCTCACTGGAAATATCCCTGATCTTCTCGTGTTGAGGAGCGAACAGATCAGAAATTAGATTGTCTAGACCAGAATTTGAACTCGGATACTTTGGTTCCAAAGGAAAATTAGGCAGCTAAAGAAGCACCTACTTTTTATTTAAGGTTTCCTGTTTCACAATGAATTATTCTAATTGCTTTATTGCCCTGCTCTCATAAATTATATTTTTTGTTGATTTAAAAGGTTTTGACTGGCAGTATTGTTGTATGGTTAGGATTGAGGGGTGGGTTGTGTTGCTCCATAAATAATCGATTTGTAACCGTCTGAATGATAATCAATTGTCATTCAAGTGCCTCAGCATCAAAAGGGATTTGATGGTGAGGTCTGGTCATCTAAGCAACTTCACACTGAAAGCAGGATGCTAGGAGTTTCCCAAAAGCCTAAAATATTATCACAGGACACATCAGTCTCTTGCTCTTCTTGATATGGAAGTTTATGATTGGACAATCAGAAAGAGACTACAAGAGAAAACTTTAACTCTTTAAGAAAACCAGAAAGAGTAGTCTAAAATTTGGCATGGAGAAAACTGTTCTTTTGACAAATGAATTGGACTGAATTATTTGGACACCAGGGCAGAGAACATGTTTGGTCTAAATCAAACAGCATTTCAGGAAAAGAACCTTGGAAACAGGGTAGTGTGACTCATTGCTTCCTCAGTCAGATTTCCGTTGGCATCTTTTGTTTCAGTAAAATGAAGCTCATACTGTTAACTTGTACAGGGTTTCCTCCAGTGTATTATAAGTCTCCGTCAGGCTAAGCATTGCTTGTTTTTGTTTTTATGATAATAGTAATAATAATAATAATTTAAAAAGATTGCTCATTTATTCATTTTTTTTAATGAGTCGGACTGCAAGGGTCTCCATTGTGCAGAGCGTTTCACTGGCGAACCAGAATTATTCCTAAAATATGGTTTATAGTTGATGCATTTAATGGGCCACAAAGCGCGAACCAATCACACCACTGGCGCCTGAGCGTATTGCCTTGCACGCCGTTGCAGCTTGATGTCTGACACATTATATTAGCCTGGCCTGCCAGGCTTATTATATACTGGGGGAAACCATGACTTCTCTTTATGAAAACGCACAGCCAGTAAGACCTGGAATGGTTTCATATGCCTCAGTAGTGTGTCATTGTACCTCTGTAGCATCCACTGTTGGGCTGACCTCACGGATGTCTTGATTGGAGCTAAGTATCTTAAAGCTTTATTCTACTTACAAAGCTCATTCCTGGCATGCCAGGTCAGTGTCCTCCACCAAGTACACTGCAGCTTTAAACACAGAAACATTTGTAGCCACAACCAGTTCCTCCCGCTGGCTTCTGAGTGGTTAACTGTATTTCTGGCTTTTATCTGCAAGACTGCCAACACTGTTGAAGGCTGGAAACCTGAGGAGGGGAAAAGATCAAGGAATGAATGGAAAAAATGACTAAAATGGTACAGAGGGAATTCAGGTCAGGGAAAACAGGGAAGCAAGGCAGAAGGATGCCAGAAAAAAACCAGCATGTTCAGATTGTCTGTAATAATTACCTGGCTTTGATCATGGTTTCACTGATTGGTGGACATTTAGGTATTCTCAGGGCAGTGTTGCTTCATATTTTTCACTCTTCAAATATGGAGAATAAAATCCAAGAGATTTTAACTGAAGACATGTTTTGTGGTAGAATCAGACGTGATGTCACACCATTCAATACCCCTGTGCTGCTGGCTGGAACTGTAAGCATTTTAGCATTCAGGTCAGTACATTAGTGAGCGATGATTTTCCATTTGATGACGTTGAGCTGTGCTGCTTCAGACGGCAACAATATTTCTTTCTAGTCGGGTACAATGGCTGCTGCCTGTGTCAGCCGCTGAGTTTTCTGAGACAGTGTCTTTTTCTTAATTTAATTTTATTTTTTTTATATTTTCTACAAATAGTTTTACCCAACATAAAGAATGAAGATAAACTATTGAGGCATATGAGTCAACATTTTATCTGTTATGTTAACTTGTCTAAAACTGTTATTTCCATGCATGGCTTCTAGATAATGTGGATTGTTGCTAAAGTTTTTGATTTCCAAAGGTTCTCTGTATCAGCCTTTTCCGTTACTATGGAAATTACAATGAACAGTGAATAAAATAAATATTTAAATATTATTCATTTATTAAAATGAGAAATAAATACAGAAATAACATAAAAAATAATTTTGACGTGCCTCAATTAAATATGTTAATTTTATTTTAAAAATTTCATATATTACCATTGCTCTAGTTTGAAACATTTCAAATTATAGAGCTCTGGAGGCTGGAATTGCTCACCTAGAGTTTCTAGTAGATCAATTACAACAATTCATTGATGTTATTTCCTCTTTTCCAGTGAAAATACTGACCCAAAGACTTGGTGTTTGAAGCAGCCAATTAGATGTCAGTTTTCAGGGAACCCCACCTATTGAAATGAATTTTTGCTGTTCTTCAGTTCAGGAATATGAAACATTAAATCATGAATCATGTTTAAATTTACTTTATTTTTTTATTTTCATTAAATTACTTATTAATTGTCAGGATAGTCGATAGAAAACATGATTACTAAAATAATTGCTTACAACAGCCCTATTTGCCTACAATTAAAAACGCAAGTATAAAGTCTTAAAAAGAACAAACAAAAAATACTATTAAAACATTTTTTTGGTGAAAACACAATGTGATGCTGATCACATTTAGAGCCGACCCAAGGCAAAAATGAACTAAGCAGCCGCTAAAGGCTTAGGGTAAATGCTACAATTTTAACTTGGAACATAAGAAACTAATTCAATATTTTAATATTTGTTTAAGAATGTCAGTGCTACTAAATTTGATTGAATATTTTCAGGAAAGATAAATTGTAAGATTTTAAATGTTCACATTTAAATGTAAAATTAAAACCTCAATTGTGTAAGATGGTGGTGTCTAGCTGCGCTGTTGAAGGGCCATATTTTAATTTCCAAGAACCTCTTGCTGATATTTTTGTAAAAAAAAAAATAAAAATCCAAACTAACCCTTTGCTCCCTGCATCCATCCATTACCCATATTGCTTTGCTCTAACTGTTGATTCTTGTCTTTGCGGCAGGTTCTGAACCCCTGGTCCAAGTCCTGACTGACTGATCATAGTGGTGGTGAATACAGACTTACTGCTGGGGTGAGTCTGGCTGTTAAACCTCTCTGTTTACTGTTACTGTTTGCCAATGTGTGTTAGTTCACTGTAAACAGTGCTGCTCATAGAGGGACCTCCATGCTTACTGGTTAAACATGGTCAGTGCAGGATTATGGCATCCACAGAGTATTCACAGTGCTTCACCTTTCCTATATATTATGGTACAGCCTTATTCCACATTGTAAATTAGTTTCTTAAATCAAAATTCTACACATAAAGACCCCTTTATGACAATGCTTTTTTTTTTTTTTTTTTACAAATCTATTGAAAATAGGAAACAAAGAAATCACATTCACCTAAGTATTCACAGCCTTTGTCATAAAGCTTGAAATTGAGCTGTTTAAATGGAGATAATATGTGGTAAATTCAGTTGATTGGACTTAATTTGTTAAGGCACACAGCTTTCTACAGGCAGTCCCACTGGGCAGGTGAGAGAGCTAACACCAAGCATGAGATCAAAGGAATTGGAATAAGGTTGTAACATAACAAAATGTGGAAAAAGTGAACCTTTATGTACTGCATTTCAAAACGCCTAATTCGCTGCAGATTCATGGGTCTGATCTGTTTGACTTTCAGAGTAAATTTGACAATATATATATTTTTTTAACTCTAACGCAGTTTAGAAATACAGTCACTGTTTTTATTACTTTACATTCTGTAATTCTGCTGTCATTATTTAAGTGGTACCTTCTAACTGCTACAATATAACTGAAAAATAGTTATGTTAGTATATAGTTATAGTCATCTAATGTAAATCTGCAGTTTTACATTAGAATGTTGAGCTGTTTCTGCTAATTCAAGTAAAAGATGAGCCCATGGCCTAAGCAAAGATTAGCATGAAGACTAATTAAAGCTACCAAATAGAGGAATGTTCATAGTGCTAGATGTTTTGTCCCTTTGTTTAATCTGGGCCTTTTTTTGCTCGTGCTGCAACAGAGAAGACAACTGATTTGTACGCCACCTTCAACCTTCAAAGTTCATTTTAAAATCAGCTAAAATTGGTGATATAATAATGACTGAGGGTAAGGGTGTTTTTTTGGAAATGATCCAAATTTACACAATAGTGTTTACATGAGTCAGTCTTGCTGAATAAGGCACATTTGTTTCCATCTGTATTAAAGTATTATGCAGCTCTGGCAGCTGATTGGGTGCTTCCACAGATAACCTGATTTACAACCTCTTGTCCTGAAATGCGTTGTAATAGATTTGTTTATGGTCAACTGATTGCCTCTGGCTTCCTGTTTGTTTGACTGTTGCACCACTTCTGGTTTGTCACGTTGATACTTAAAATAGATTATTGCTGTGTGCTTGGATAATTAACAGATTACCACAGTAAAGCTGTTAAAACGACACAAAACAAAGGGCATAATCTGGGAGATTCGGTAGCTACCAAAAGCTTCCAGAGCTTGGTCAAACATGTGAAAACAACACAATTTTAATTTGTTCAATTGGCTCAATTAAGAGTAGAACAGCCAACTAGTGGGAAATGGCTTCCTACTACTAACTTAACATTAACAATAAAATAACTGGCAAAAACAACAGGCTGACTACCTTAGTCAAACATGCAGAAATAAACTGCAACAAACCTTCTGTCAAATGGTTTATAAAGTGCAATTAGTAATGCTAAAAACAATGTAAAACAATTAAGAAACATAAAGAAGGGATAATTAATATTTGTTAAAACATTGAAAACTGCAGAAACAAAAATTCTCTTCTGCTCCATGAAATATAAAAACCACAACCTTGTTTCCATCAGTTGTATTTATCTATTGCATTCTCCATTAGATGATTTAAAATGAAATAAAAATAACAACAGCTGTTGATGTGAGTGCAGAGCGTTATCAAGCTAAGTCGTAAAAAAACAGTCCTGGAGTCAAGGTATAGAGACGTTCAAAAGAATTTAAACACTCTTGAACGTCCCATCATACTCTTAAAAGGTATGACTTACAGTTAGAAATGTATATCTTTGGAAGTTTTCAGCTTTTGCTCCATTTTTCAACAAAGTTAAGAGCTTTTGTCTTGTTAGCTTCTGCAGTGGTGGTTTCTGATATGGGCAACATGGGCAGCCAGGGCAGCATCTTGCGGGGGTGACATTTGCACTCCCCTCTCCTGTATAATAGGAATACATGATATGTCAGCACTGACATCAGAACAGGCTGATGTTTTTTTTTTTTTACATAATGAGCCAATAGTAAAGAACTAATGTTTATTTCCATCATCTTACCATTTATGTAATGGTAAGATGAATGTAATGTAGAGGTGAAGGATATTGATCATGTAGTTTTCGTTTGGGCAAGTAATAGTGATGCAAAACAACTTTCAAACTTGAAACCCAGAGCTATAACACCCAGTGGTGTGGTATAACCTTGGTAGATATCAGTTATAAGTCTTAGCAGCAATAATTTTTGATTTTGATGTTGGCCAATGTTCATATTGGTGCATCCCTACTTTATGGATGACAATGCATCCTTGAAAAGTCTGAAATTCATTAGTGTGAAGTATGTTAGTTTTAAATTGGCCTGTTAAAAACCAGCTTCTTGTCCAGGTTGATAAAACAATGGCTTTCTGGAGGCATGCACTCATAATAACGCTGATAGGACTATTTTGAAATGTCCTTTTTAAAAAATGTAATGGGTGTGGAAACAAAAAGATTAAAGAGATCAGATGTCACTAATTACATTTATTTTCTTGAGCCAAAAATGATATTTACTGCTGCAACTCCCGGGTTAACTTCAGGTTTTTAGAAATCCTTTACAATATTTGGATTAGATTATTTCCAGAATGTGCAGATTACTAAATATTTGCAAGTCTTCTTTCTGTTGTCTTCTCTTCGTAATTTTTCTGGTTGAATTATTGCGTGTTTGGCCGATTGTTCTGTCTTTTTCTGTATCCTGTCCTGAGCTCTATTCACTTGGTGTACTTTCGGACAGCTGCTGTGATGTATATTTTTGGTAACAATATATTATTTTTACAACTGTGAGCAGCTCATTGGTTCATGAAAAGCTTATTCAAAGCTTTGATACAACAAAAATATCCATTTTTTTTCTTTCTTTTTGTTAATAATCAAGAAATTCCAAAGCAGCCCCACAACTTGTTTCTCTCTAACCTTTTTAAAGAGATGGCTAAAGTGACTGCTAATGTAAGCTAGCTCAGTATGAGGAAAGCATGTGTGATTGAGTGGCTGTGCTTCAGCTAACCTGCAGAATGCAGAGCAGGTTTAACTGCTCATCAAGTGAGCCTTGCTGGCATAGCCTGCATGGCACCATCTGTCACTGACACACACTTCTCCTTGTTGACCCCAAATGGGGCATGTGAGGCAGGGAGAACCCTGCCAATACAATCTGTCACATAAAGAGACCAGGAACTCTACAGAAGCTAGAAGACGGGTGAACGTCATGTAGCTTCCAGTTTTAGTTCGATTGCCATTAAAAATATTTTTACGAGTTTTGTTAAGTCACTTTAAGTGTTCTTGGCCGGGTCAGCGCTCTAAATGGAACTGCTGTGTCTGTTTGTGACACAGAGCGTTTTGTCTTATTGTACAAATTATAATCCAGCTCAGTGCATTTCTATTCATCATTTCCCCTCACTTGCATCGTAAATGTCGTCACCATCACCATCACCATCACCAGATGTATTAAACATTTGTTCTTCCATGTTGCTGGCTACAGATTCAGTCACTGACACGTGCGACTGAATCCACCTTTCTACAACTCTTAGAGTTGTCGGTCTGTGGCTGTCAAAAATTGTGCACTCTTCAGTCTTAAGAAAAATCTTGTGCTTGGCTGCTTTCTCAAACTAGACGTGTTTCTACTGCTGGCCTTGTACTTTGTGTTGCAACTATTTCAACAGCCATAATTTGCATCGCTTTTTGAAAAGTGAAGCCATACATTTGAGCATTTCTACCCGTCATGCTTTCTTTGCTTACTGAACTAGTCAGTTCCTGATGTCAAAGAACAATTGCAAGAATAAACTAATAACCAAATGCAGTGGAATAAAATTATATGGAAAGACATGTCTAGCAATAATTAACACTGGGGATTGAGCAAAGCAGGACAAGAACATGACTGAAATAAAACACAGTGGTTCATGACATAGAAAATCGAAATAATTCAGGATTTTTTTTTTTAGATAAAAGGTAAAATTATATTGCTGATATAACATGTTTGGTCACAAATAATACTAAGAAATATATTTTTCAGAACATAATGGTAATGAGCTTATTGAACCACTAAATGCAAAAGGGACAAACTACTTCTCTGTTTTTAAGCAATGTTTATTTCATATCTTTATTTTCTCAGTCTTATTCTTCATGGCCATGTTAACACCATGAGGCTTGAAGTTGGTAAAAGCTGCTCTGTTACGCTTTGAATCTGATTTAGAATAGGCTTTGTCTTTGCATTTATTTAAAAAAAGGTATTTTCTGAATTCAGAATACTAGCTTTCTGAACCAGGTTCAATAAATAAATCGCAGTTGCACTTGAAGGGACCCTGGGAAAAATAAAAATGTTGCTTACAACTGGAACAAGTTTATGTAGCCCATTAAAAATGGCATTAGCTGTTTTTTCCGTTAGTTGTTTCTTTTGGTGTCAATCAAGCATTATTACTGTGATTAAGAAAGTAATACAGGCAAAAGATAAAGAAAGAAAAATCACTCTTAAAAAAACAAATGGCGAATGGCACAGCCTACCGCCGGTAATTTATACTCTGGTCTAGTCACCCAACATTATTATTTATTCAGTAATTTAGCAGTAGTAAAGATTTTAGAATTGAAACAGATTCTTATTTTGTCAATGGTTTGTGATTTATTGCAGTTATTTAATTACAGACCCTGTGGTCAACTTTATCAATCAACCAATCAAGGTTATTTGCATTACACATTTCAGCAACATGGCAGTTCAAAGTGCTTTATAACATCATAAAAAATACAAAGTTGTAGAACACACAGTCCTCAATTACCAAGCGCAATCGTTACACATCAGAATGTT